CAGAGTCTTTCATAGATAGAATTCTAGAGTTGAAAAGCTGCACAAGGATAATCTAATTTAATGTTTCTCAACCTTGGCAATTTTAAGATATATGAATTTCATTGTCATGGTTGAGAAACACTGAGCTACTACAACCCTCTTCAATGTGTAGGAAAACCAATTAAAGTATTCATGAGAGGTAGCTATCTAGTTGTTCTTAAAAATCTTTAGATACCAAGATGTCACAACCTCCAGATTTAGACTTTTCTTTTGCCATGTACAGCTCTTACTATCAGGAAGTTTTCTTTATATAGTCCTAATAATAATGCACAAATATAATGTCACTTAATTCTATGATATTTCATCAGTTTAGGAATCAGCCTGAAAGAGATCTAGATAGAAGAACATCTAAATGTTCTGGTTGATCATTAGGTAATTTTCATATATTGGCAAGGCTTTTGGAATCCCATTTTTTCAACAACAAAAGCAGAACATTTTTCTCCATTTAAGTTTGGCTGCTGAAATTTCAAGGACATAAGAAAACTGAAGGTGGATTATTATGAAACTTTTGGTAGATTTTTTTAAGAAGAAAAAACTTGGTTGCCTTGTGCCTTGCATTGAAACAGATAGGTTTGTATTCATCATATTTTTAAAAAGTAATTATTTATCATTTTCTTTATTTCACATATTTTCATACTATATATAGTATAAATGTATAATGTGGGTATTCTCTGAGTATGCAGAACCTACTGCCTTACTTTTGGTTAGTTATTCTATCAGACATTCAATGCATCTATATTTAAAAAGAATGATCATTGTTACAAATTAGTACTATATTACATAGGAAAAACTTGAAAAGGAGAACTAACATACACTTGTATGATTTTAGCACTAATATTTCAAATTGCATTTTGTTTTCAAGTTCAGATAACACCAACAATTCTATCTATATAATAGTCTGTTTGCTTGTTTAATCTTACCTTGCCACAAGCTGTCATGGCCAGAGCCAACTGGTACCAGAGATGAAATTCACCAAATGCAAGCTTCATTGCTCGTTCTAAACACTGGAGACAAAAAGTATCGATTATACATATGCATATACATATAACAGAGGTGGGATGCTGGGGGCTCTTAGGGGTTCAGGAGAAACTCTAGCTAAGACTCTGTGCAGTTTGGAGAACCCCCAAATCCCACTCTTGGCTGGTCCCACCCACCCCCCCCCGGCGGGAGGGGCATTTTTGCCCTCCCAGGAGTCCCTACGTGACCTGTTTTGGATGCAGGTAAGTACAGGTTGTGTACTGAGGCTTGGGGAGGGCAAAAAACGGACCTAACAGAAGTTCGGGAACGCTGGAAACAGGCCCTTTTTTGACCTCCAGAGGGCCTCCGGAGCCCGGGGAGGGGAAAAATGCCCCTCCCGCTGTAGTACAGGAGGACAACTAGGTTACACCCATCATGGCCACACCCATCCAGCAACCAGGCACAGAACCCCTTGCTAAACTTTTTGAAGCCCACCCCTGCATATACATATCAGAGGTGGGTTGTTGCAGTTTTGGCCCGGATCGGGTAAACCAGTAGTGGCGGTGGTGGGAGGCTCCTCCCACCTGCCCGGACACTTCTGCACATGCACAGAAGTGTCACGGTGGGCATGAGTGTGCACAAAAGAATCTGTAGTAAAAAAATGGAAACCCACCACTGATACATATACAACAACAGAGAGGGAGGGAAGAGAGAGAGAAAGGGAGGGAGAACAAGCCTGAAGGAGGAGAGACACATTCCGATAGTGCAGTGTTTTGGGGTTTTTAAAAAAAGCATGCATGAAGAAAGGGCTATCTGAGGTGGATTAAGTGCACAAATGGGATCCAAATAAAGTGTTTTCAGTGCCTACAATTATCCTTCATGCTAGTGTTACAATACTTAGGATGCAAGCTTATATAGTTTTCTTCAAAGCTGGACTCTAGATCTCTCTTTAACAAAATTAACATCCAAAAATATTTCCAATAGATATAGCATATATTGCAGCATGGTAAATATAAACACAATATGATTTTGAGGGGAGGGGTTGTTAATGTTTACAAAATATTACAAATCTAGCAAAGGTATAAAACCGTGAGATCCTTCAGAGTCGGTTTAATGTTGGTTTAATGTTCCAAGTAATAGACCCATAGCAAGCAAAACTCCAAGGCAGATGAATTCCTCAAATAATAGCTTTATTGGAGATATCATATTGGACAAATCTGGTGAAAACCGACTTTGAAGGTTTCCACGGTTTTCACCTAATTTTCCTCAACCCCAAACAATCAGTTATATGGTCCAATCAAAACACTCCCTGGTTGCCTAGTGACCTCACTCCTTCCACGGTCCAGGTGTGAGAATGTCCTTGGTTCCCAAAAGTATGTATTTTATTTTGACTACAAAACTCAGGTATCTCTAATCCCCACTCTCCCTATCCCTCAACTCTAGTGTGGCAACACTGAAGCTCAAAGATGGCTCCGGTCAGATCAGCTTCAGGCTTGACCCAGAAATACAAAATATACTTCACCTGGTATACCACCTGCATCCTCTCTTGGACCTGGAAACCCTTTTAGGCAGTCACTCACATTCTAATCATCTCACACAGGTTGACTATTTCAATGAGCTCTACATCAGTTTTACCCTGAAAGACAACTCAAAAGCTCCAACCTCTCCCGAATGTGATAATTCTGGTCTGCAAATTGTACTGGTTGCTATCTTGCTTCTACCCAACCAATATGAGCTGACAGGGTTGGCATGCTCCAGGTTCCTTCAATCAAACAAAGTCATCTATTAAGACCCAGGAAGCATATCTCTTCTCTGTCATGGCATCTGCCTTCTGGAGTGCTGTTGCCTCTGAGAACCAGATGGCTCTCACCCTGGTAATTTTCTGGAGAGCCTTAAAGACCTAGCTGTTCAGTCAGGCCTTGGAGTGAAGTGGGTGGAACCTCCTGATGGTGGTATATGTTCTGTGGGGTTTGCTACAGTGGTGGATTCTGGGTGGTATGGCCTGGTATAGCTGTACCGGTAGTAGCCGGGAGCAGCGACCACCATAACGGTACGGTGGCTTGTTTGGCCCGCCCACGTTCCATAGCTGTTTATAATGCGACCGGCCAATTGCACACACGCGCACAGCATGCGGCACCTGCGCAACCTCCGCTGAGCAGCTGGATGTTGCAGGGCGGTGGCATGTGCATGCATGCTGACTAGGACGCCAGACCCCGTGCACAGCATACTGGTTGTGACAGGATCCGGAACCCACCACTGGTTTGCTAGATTCACTATCTCATCCCTTTCCTACTTTTCTAGTCTGGTTCATCTGTTGTATGGTTTTGTTTTTATTATTTTGTTTTACATTTTGCTTATTCTACTGTTGGGCCACTCTGTTGGGTGGCACTAAATAAATAAATAAATACATACATACATACATACATACATACATACATACATACATACATACATACATACATACATACATACATA